TAAATTCGATTTCATCAATAATGTTTGTTTATAGATTTTAATAATTTGTATAACGCGATTAACATTTTAATTTTTTAATTAAAATTAAAATTGTAATACAATTTCACGTTAATTAGAAATGTTGAACTGTGTCAGATTGGTTTTATGATTCTATTTTTTTTCTTTTTATTTAAAAAGAACATAATAAAGTTTAAATTATAGTTTTTGAGAGGAATATTGTTTTTTTAGTTTGATTATAACTTTAAAAGTAATAAACAATAACCAAATTAACAAAATTCAATTAATTTTCCTGAAAACTATAAATACTATAAAGTAGAACTTTAATTTAGATGTTCGTTTAAAATTCAAAATTTGTATAACGGTAAATTAATTTGAGTAGAAATAGTATAGTTAAATAATTAACATTTAGTTAAAATGAGGAAAATTATGATAATTGTACATTAAATTAAATTGCTTTTACACAAGCTGTTGTACAGCATTCTCTTTCTTTAAATTTAATTTCTGTACTTGATGAATACTAATAAATAATCTTGAAACGTTCATTTGCATCGTTTATAATAATAATTTGACCAGCAAAAATTAAATTAAATTAAATTAAGCAATAAAAATACGCGGTAAATTAAAAATTACCTATTCGTATATAAGAGTATATTTACTTTCTCTGTAATATTATTCCTGTGTTAAATAATTTTTCATTAATGTGTTTTATTGAAAATGTTATCAATGTTTTAAAAAAAGTGTTTGACATATTGTAAACAAAACAGATAAAAGTCATTTTCAATAAAATAACTCGAACGGGTTGGTTCCCGCTGGAAATTTATGTCGAAACTTTTAATGACGCTTACACTCCTCCACTCGCATTGGACTAATTCTGAAATTAATGTTTTATTGGTGATGATATAAATCGTAAATTAACAGTAAACTAAACGTCTTAGAAGCCCCGTTGGTAAATGGATTGGTGTTAAGCTTATTTATGTCATATATTAGGAAATTGTGTTGTTATTTATTTTTCGTTTCATATCGTAATACTATGAATTATTAAAATCTAATAAAAATACCTATCAAGTTTTCATTATATTATTATTCTATTATCATAATTGTTGATGAAGTATTTTAATAACATACATCTACTGATTGTGAATAGATTATTTGTTAAAAATACTTTTAATTTACACCTCTTCCTGCACGCTAATAATGTATTTCAAATAGTATATTATTTATTGAACATCCATTTAATATCATATAGTTATAAATATATACATATATCAGTAAATACAAATTTCATCTCATTATCTCTGGAAGAATATAAATTTGAGTGCGATCTTAATCTAATATGATCGTCATGGCCGTATATAGACTAAAAATGATGATTCATACGTAGGTGGCATCCGACTACCACGGGTTAATGTCGAATTCGCTACGATTTTTCAGATTTTATTGTTATAATATATATATATATATATATATATATATATATATATATATATATATAAGTAAGACGGTTGTATAATGAAGTCGTAGAATAATAAATAACGATTTCTTTCGCGAAATAACGAACCAGTGCGGAAGGCAATAGGAAATACTGAAGCTCAAAATACATCCGGTATAAATACGAGGAACTTGACACCGGGTCGAATTGCACATGATGCTTGTATTACGATGACATTACTCGCACGCACCTACTACACTACTGAAATAGACAGAGTGTTTACAATATATATAATATGTGCGTGTATAGTTTAGAAAGGTCTCCATGATCGTATATGGTTCTGTACCTACGTATATAGTTGTCATGCGTTTGAGATCAAATTCATTAATATATTGAACGTCCAGTGTAAGAATTATATATGTATATATGTTTATTATCATACACATATAAACATAATTTATCTATATCGTGTTCACGGCTGCACAAACATTATTCTATTAAATATAATTTTAACTGATATATTATTTTGCATAAAAGTTATTAGTTCATCAGAGTTCTACAATATTATTACAAATTGTAATATTTTTTTTGATTCTGCCGAATTAAAAGAAAACATATTGGCGTTGTATTGTTTTAAATAAAATAAACGATAGTCAAATTATAAAAGTAATTTACATGTCATAAATTTGTAAAAAATGTTATTTAATATATAGGTATATATATATTTCCATTCAGCATTCAAATAGCCTTGAATAAAATTTTATGTCAGACGAGTAAACGATTTAATTTAGTGGGCGAATTTGTATGTATGAAAAAATTAAGGTAAGACGTGATTTGTTTATATATCATATTACATTCCATCATAAAACACATAATTCGATAGCTTCGATTATGAAAGTTATGAAGCAAAATAAAAATTTACAAGAAATCCATTATTGTATTTTTTCAATTTTTAAACGTTATAATATTTATTATGATATTGCGTTAAAACTTAAAATGTATATTTCGTAAATGTTGAATAAAAATTAAATAAATACATTTAATTTTTTCTAGGTAGTCGAAATATTTTTAGTAGTATGCTTTGATATTTTTTTTTTTTTTTTGAGATTTGAAAAAACTTGTGAAAATTTAAAATCATAATTTGTTTTCTTATTTAACCTTATATCATGAAATTATCTTCAAGAGTGTATTAAAAAATATGTTGTATTAAAATTTATTTTACTGGGTTTTATTTTTTAATATACAGTTTAAATAAAGATAATATTGATTTAAACACTTCATAATAAATGAGTGTTGAATATTTGTTTACGATATTGTGAATACTTATTAACTTAAGTTTATTTTTTTTAACTAGTTTATACTTTTTTTAGACATGAGAATTTTCTTGATAGTAATTACCCATAAACTATGTAAAAAATGCAATTAGTTTAAATTTTCCAGTAAGTGTATTATTTATAAATTTTAGTGAGGCTTTATTTTGCCACAAACTAATGCCCAATCTATGATCGTTAATATAAGTCTACTATACCAGGGGCGATGTTTTCGTTTTTATCACCTTAAGTTATTATAATTTGTAGGGACAATAATAATATAGCATTTAGTTTAATTGTTACATGAAGAAATCAATTTTGAGTCATTATGTTTTCTGGAAATACGATTAACCATTATTTAGTTTACAGATGGAATTATTATGATGAAAATCTAAAACTATACCAACACAAATACATTAATATAATACATAAGATTTTTTTTTATGAAAATGGTGTATATTATTAGGCAACTTAATTATGAATATCGTGGGACAAAAAATAACGCATTAAGATGAGAATTATATCTATCTACGAGCCTTTGAAATAAAACTGACAGTCGAGAGTTCTTACAGTAAATTTGGATGGGCAAAATTTGAAAAAGAAAATCTAAAACTCATCTAGAATAGCCCTATAGAGAAATATAATGCAGAAATTCCAACAATAGAACTTGCATACTGTATAGTCACATCCATTTACAAATCCCTTAATACTCTACGAGTATTTAAGTTTCGTTAAACCAAAACATTTTGAACACTAAAGCACTAACAAAATAATATGGAACTTCAACGTGTACGATAATTATTACTAGAATTAAGCTAAATTGATGTTGACAAGGAAGAAGTAGAGAAGTTGACAAATGATCTGGAGTAAAACGAATTAAATAAGGGATTAACAGGACTATAAAACTTAAAGCTCCTTCCGAATGTTAATAAAAGAAGATAAATTAAGCTTATAACCTCAACATTTTATTTTTAAATGAAAATATCATACCTCAAAATAAACATTTGAAAGTCCAATATCAAACATCTAGTAAACAGGCCCTTAAAATACCAAATAAATGCTATTATGTTAACAGAAATATTAAAAATAACTAATAATAAAAAATGATATAATTGGATATAAAAGAAAAACTTCCAAACAGGTGAGATGAAACTTGAGTTTGTGGAAATTATTTAATTGACTAATATCAGGTTATTAAAGACAGTCCCAAATCATTAGATATATTTATAGAGGAACAAAATAGTAACTATGAATATTGTGAGATTTAAAAAACGCATTTTCTTTTTAAATTTCTTAAAAATTCAAGAAATTTGTATTCATATTTTTAACACAATTATATTTATTTATATTATATTTTATTTATCAATAAAGTATAATCCCATAATTGTTAATTTGTAATAACTGCTCGCTTCCTTCCTGTTAAGCAATTTGATATTTTTAGGTTCAATGTTTCATTAGAGAAATCTATCTACTACCTAATCCATGTCTGTAGTCTATATTTCGCTTTAATAACCCATTATCCATTTAGGGCTTTTACTGCTTCATATATTTCCCAATGATTTTCTCAGTATTTATTTTCATCTAGTTTTGATTCTCGTTATTTTACATCTGATTTGTCTGTATCTATCCACCTCTGTCTAGGTCTTTTTTCGTTTATTGTTTCTGTTACTACTGTTTAATATCCCATTGGACGTTCAGACATGTCTAGCCCATTTCATATGTTTGACTCTTATATATGCATTAACTTGGGTATTCGGTATATTTTTTATATTTCCTTATTGGTTCTAACTCTGTGTTTACCATTTTCTAAGATAAGATTCATTTTTTTTTTCTTCAAAAGTCATCAATTTTTTTGCGTCACCTTTTGTGATCGATCATGTTTCACATCCGTAAAATAAAAATGAACGGAGATAATTTGAGTAAAGTATTGATTTAGATTTTATAAATAGTAATTTATCTTGATTTAAATAATTTATTTTTCTAATAATCCATCTATCTCATATGAATCTCTATAATAAATATGCCCTAAATAAATAAATAGTTTATACAGCACTGTTTGGTCGTTACTTAAAAATTATAGTTATTGGTAGTAGTTATCATGTAAATACGAGTATAATAAAACATTAACTAAGTTTTAATTATAGCGATCACAAAACGATTGTTTATTTATATTAATATTATAAATCATCGATACATTTTAAGCTACTACAATAATTTTTTTTATTAGACAACTAAAATAACCATTTTTATTCTTCACCAACCTTGTCAGTGTTAGTTGACGAGGTTTGAGAGGTATGCGTAAGTCTTGCTTCTAAACTTCCACCTAATACAGCATACCAACTTGACCCGATTTCACCTTGTCTGTACACTGAAACGAGAAAAATGAAACATTTATTAGATAAAATTTATCGTTGGTTTTTAATAACCTAGAGAACAAAAATTAATAACATTTTTTGGTTCTATATAGATTCAAATGTGCTACATGAATTTAACAATATTATTACTAAGTTATTTGATAAAAAATAAGAAAATGTGGAATTTGTACTTATATTAAATTATTGTATTATATTGTATTATTTAATACATTATAAAACATCCATTTATTTAACTTTATTATAGAGCGAATAATAGATAAAATATGATATTAAAACATGGATATCATTATTGCAATACACATTTAATTAAATTATTAAAATCAATAACTTAAAATTGTATCATTTATTTGAATATCAACTGTGAAAGTTTTTTTAAACACTAACACATTGAAAAATAATCATCTGTATATATTATGCTGAAAGAATAGTTTATTCTTGGATTTTATTGTCTAAAGTATTTTAACATTACATAAGTTAAATGTGAAGATAAACTACTTCAAATTTATAAAATAAAACCAAAATTGGCTAGGGCGATAAATTTTTTACTTACAATAATCACACTTCTTATAAATTATATAAAATATACAATTTACATAATGCAATGTAAGAAAAGAATATTTTACATACACACTATGGAGTATAAAAATATTAAGTGAAACCCGTGGAAAGGACGTAGAAATCCTTTGAAATCGCTAGTAGTGTATATATATATTATATACGTATACACAAAGTGCCTAAGTAATTGACATACGTATATAATATATTATAAAGCAATACGCCCAGATGCACTTAACGTAACTGAAAGTGTTTTACACACAGAATAGAGGTCAGCATGACAGCGTCCACGAGTTGTTGACATTTGAAATCCTAAAACGATCCATTACGCTATTTTATATTTTTCAGTGTTTATAATGAGTAAGGACTATTTATTAAAAAATATGTATAATAATATTGTATTCTTATCTAAGTTATATGCTTACTTAAATTTAAAAATGATTTTTTTTTCTTCTCATATACTTAACAGGTTTCTTAAAGGTAAATTCCCTATATGGTGCATTGCGTATTAATTTTGATTTTTTTTCTCTTACACTACTTGCAAGTGGATTTATTGTTTAGAACTTACTATGTAAATATTTTGTCTAATAATAGACATTTTTGTGTAGATCGATTATTTATTCCTAAGAACAGGATGTAATAAATATTTTAGGCGCAGATGGTATTTCGAAATTTTGACACTTTTCGAGCACATTTTACTGCATCCAATTTCCAATCACTTGCAATATGTGTCATTTTGAAATATTTGGAACATATTTACTACCTGAAAACGCATAAAGCATGAAAAAAAAAATACCATCGTAAAATCAATAACTTCTTCTATCTGCTCGAAACCAATATTGTTGTAGCTTATACCCCCGATTTATCCAACGAAATGGTTTTAAGTTCAATTTCATTTTTACCATAATAATAACACTTTAAAGACACGTTACGCATTTTTATATCTATAGCATTGTACACCTACAAGAGAATTTAGAATGTACAATTATTTTATCAAAAAAATATCCTACATACGTTGAACGTAATATTTTATTAGCTGCAAGTTATACCATTTATTTGTATCTACAATGTATTAAGTAAATATTATTGTAAAGGTTTTCGAATAAAGATTTTGTGAGTACAATTCATACAGGAATTTAACCTATGGTAACACTCATAGATGTAATACTACAAGTAAGAAAACGACGTTAGGATATTTTATTTTATTATAATTCACATTACAGACATAACAATATACACACATAGAAAAAAAAAAAAAAAAAATTATGCCGGTTGCCATAAACCTGTATACTATCGTTAGTATATAGATAAAACCTATGCGCACACTCGATATCTATAATTTTAATATCAATAGTTTAGTAACGTGAAACAAGTTTTTGAATACTTAAATTATGCTTCATTGTATAGTATTTTATTTTTAAGATAAAAGCAATTAGTTCATTTAAAATAAAATTGTTATCAATATATTTTAAAATTATTTTAACTAGGTTATAAAATACTCGGTCAGCTATGATTTATAAAGCTGTAGAAATTCGTTTATATAAAACCATTCTAACAATAAAAATATTGAAAACAATAGTTATAATATTATTACAAGGAACATAAATTTACATATAAACAACTAACTTAATAACCCCTAAATACAATTCCACTAACACACTTTTTTGATTCTAAGAAATAAAAAATGAACAGCTAATAAATCAATTATTCTAAAGGAGTTGTTTTATTTTATCAGCGTTTATGAGAAGCATCGTCAAGAAGAATTAAATTAACGAAATTAATACAGTGATATTTGTGGACAGTAAATTTTTAATTATCGCAAAGATTTTTGAAAATTAATAATTATATGGACAGTAAAATAATTATATACTTAGACATTTTTTTTTTTAACATAATATCTAGGATATAAATGGTAGAAGAAATTAATTTTTAAAATACAATGAAATATTATTGTTTTTAATTTTATAAATTATTTACCTAAAATATTCCATCAAAGCAGGATATACCGCCATTTTATTCTAAGAAATTAATTCAAAATAATTAATTGCTAAATAGTTTATTGAAATAAAAATGTATCGGATCTTACGAGAAAACTCGAGTTGAGTTCTGAGATATTTGATCACTAAAATTGAACAAAAGTGGTGTCCACGTAATAATTTGAAACTACTTGAATTTGGATCGACATCATAACACATTGAATTTGAATTAAATGATGCAGATTTCACTTAGTCCTTAGTTCATGGCAAAAATTCAATAAAAGCTATCAAAATAATTTATAATTTTATATGATTATATAAATGACCATATTAAGCGTATTTTTGGATAACCTTCTTTTTTTAAATTTAGAATTAGAATACGTTTTAATTTAATTTAGCATTTAGTAGTTGTGAAAAAAAGTTAAGGTACACCTATATGTTAATAATATTATGAGTATATAAATATCTTAACAATATTTATTTTATTTTTTTTTTTTTTTTTTATTTTTAATAAGATAAATCAACAATCTGTTACATATAGTAACAATAAAAAGATGGGCGTGATTAAAGACACGTTATCCATTGATAGCGCTTTGGAACTATAATTTTAATGCAAAATATTTCAATTATTTTTAATATAAGTATTAAGAATTCGAAGTATAAATTCAAAATTATGTAATACAATAAAAAGAAAAAGTTTATGATATTTTGTATTGCATAATAATTATTATAAATATATAATAATTATAAATAATTTTGTATGTATATTTTTATTTGAGGGGCTACTAAATATTTCACTTAACCAGAAAAAAATTTCCAAAATAGCCCACTAAATATAAGTTTAAACACAAATGCTAAATCATTTTAAGGTTGTAAGTTTCTTGTTTAGAAAAACACTTATATTTTATTTCTATATAAGTGATATGTTATCACTACGACACTAATTAAATTAAACAAAAAAACTAACTGAAAATTGACCGTAAAAATGTTCTCATTAATTCTCGATATTTAAAGTATTGAGTATTTAAAAATGTTCGGTTCAGCTTTATCGTAAAGATTGTTTTTACTTTTTTAAATGGAACGACGTATTAGGATTGCATTGTGTATCCCTAATTTGTATTCATTGTTTTTCAACTAGACACCACGTTCAATGGAACACAGTCACTTATACAACTATTACGTATAAACTTATAACACCAAGATTGTAGACCAGCTCACAAAATAATGAACTCCACCGCAGCGCTACCAAGAATATTTGCACTATAATCCCAACCACGCTTTGGCGGTAGCATTGCGAAGATACCTTAGGAATAGTTGGCAATTCGTTTATGATGAACTGCCACTGCGCCGTCGGGATTATTCACCATTATTTTATGCATACAATTTTTTTTTTTTTTTTTTTTTTTTTTATTAACAAAATTGTTTACTATACTTAATAATATTTTTGTTTTTTTTTTTTTTTAAAGTAAAAATTACGTCTATATTTACGATCTATACTATATGTATATCAAGTAAATTTTAGGGGAGATTTACAACGATGGGACGGTGAAGAGGAAGTTCACAGTAGATCTACGTACACAAAAATATGATATAGATTCAAGACAATAATATGTTTGACATATTGATGCATATTTCACATAAATAGGTTCAGCACAATTGAGCGAACTACGTGCAAAACAGCAAAATTAATATGACACAAATCGAAAAATTCTGTTCATATTACCAGTGAAATCAATATGTGGACGATATTTTTTGTTTTTTGTTAGTTCAAAATTAAAATCTGGATAATATTATCATTTTAAACCTATTGGCCGGCGTCATGGGTAGGCAATTTTGGTACATTGGAGTGTAGGTGTGTCCGATGATAATATTTACTTATAAATTTATATTTAAATCGGAAAAATTAATTATTCTCAGACAACAAATTGACTTTTGTTACCCGTAACGCTTTGTTACGTGACAATGTCATTATGTTTACGTAATTTGTATAAACGAATAATATAATATTATTTAATATTACATTCATTCTCCCTGTAGTATTTCATTAAATCGAACCACAATGGGCATGATTCTACATTTATAATGTTATATAAACTCGTGAAAATCGATTGTGTCATAGCATAGTTGTACTACGAACATAATACAAAAACAATACAAATAAATTGCATACCTTTGGAGTAAATTGTATATTTGTACATTTCTGTTAGCTCGTTTTAAATAAAATATTTTAATTTTTTTGCAACAAAAAACAGTAATACAGCAAAAAAAAAAAAAAAATGTAGATGTATACGTTTTTGTGTAATCTAATAAATATTTACAAAACATGTTTATTTCGCACACTATTTTTACATGCGTCTATATTACACGTCAGCCAATGGATTACAAATTTTAATTATAATTATATAATAATATTAAAAAAAATAAATAAATAAATACAAAAATAAATAAAAATAAGTGTTTAA